CCTGGCTCTGCCTCCCGAGTGCTGGGATTAAAGGCGTGCGCCACCACCGCCCGGCAACCTTTTTTTTTTTTTTTTTTGAGATAGGGTCTCATTTCGCCTAGGCTGCCTTTGAACTCACTGTGTGGCCAAGGATGGCTTTGAACTTCTAAGCCTCCTGCCTCTACCTCGTGGGTGTTCCTTTACAGGTATGCGCCACCGTGGCTGTTTTATTCAATGCTGGGGATGGAATTCAGGGCTCTGTGTGTGCTAGGCACACACTCTCCCAACTGAGTCACATCCCAGCATCTTGGTTTGTTTTTTTTTAGACAAGGTTTTGCTCTGTAGTCCAGACTGGCTCTGAACTCATAGCAATCCCCCTGCCTCTGTCTCCTCAGAGTTCCCAGGTAGGCACCACCTTCTGGCTCTCCTGCTTTGTTGGCCTGTTTTATGTTCTCTGTTTAACGGGTCTTTTTCACTGTGGGGAGGTAAACTCTGTAGGAGATGATCCAAAAGCTGAGTTTTGTAGGAGATGATCCAAAAGCTGAGTTTTGTGAAACATTTAGGAGTTTGTCTCCAGGACAGTAAAGCCTGAGACATAACACGAGAGGCATGAGGTCCTCTGTCCTGGAGGATGATTTTGTGTCCAAGCACCACAGCAGCTAATGCCTGAAGGGCACATGCATGCAGACATACAGTAGTGAATATTTACATGCAGACATACAGCAGTGGGTACTTGCATGCAGACATACAGTAGTGGATATTTACATGCAGACACATAGCTGTGGATACTTACATGCAGACATACAGTAGTGGGTGCTTGCATGCAGACATACAGTAATGGATATTTACATGCAGACATGCAGCAGTGGGTGCTTGCATGCAGACATACAGCAGTGGGTGCTTGCATGCAGACATATAGCCGTGGTGCTTGCATGCAGACATACAGCAGTGAATATTTACATGCAGACATACAGCAGTGGATACTTACATGCAGACATACAGCAGTGGATACTTACATGCAGACATACAGTAGTGGATACTTACATGCAGATATACAGCAGTGGGTGATTGCATGCAGACATACAGCAGTGGATACTTACATGCAGACATACAGTAGTGGATACTTACATGCAGATATACAGCAGTGGGTGCTTGCATGCAGACATACTGTAGTGGATACTTACATGCAAACATATAGCAGTGGGTGCTTGCATGCAGACATACAGCAGTGGGTGCTTGCATGCAGACATACAGCAGTGGGTGCTTGCAAGCAGACATACAGTAGTGGATATTTACATGCAGACACATAGCAGTGGATACTTACACGTAGACATATAGCAGTGGGTGCTTCCATGCAGACCCAAGGGAACTTACATGCAGACACATACACCAGTGGCTACTTGCATACAGATAACTACAGGAGGTGGCCCTGCAGGTGTCAGACAGGGAAGTGAACTCCGTGAGGAGATAGGAATGAAAACTCCGTGCAGATTGACTTTGTCAATCTGGATCATACTTGGGGGTAGGGGTGGGGTCTAAGGCCAGGTGGTTCATTGTCAGCGTATTTAAAAGCCAGTACAGCCGGCGGCGGCGGTGGTGGCACATGCCTTTAATCCCAGCACTTGGGAGGCAGAGGCAGGCGGATCTTTGTGAGTTCAAGGCCAGTCTGGGCTATAGAGTGAGTTTCAGGAAAGGGGCAAAGCTACACAGAGAAACCCTGTCTCAAAAAAACAAAAACAAAGCAAAACAAGCCAGTACAATTTGGGAAAAGGTTTCCAGGCAACAATCAGTCCAATTCCAGGTGCACAGTAAAGCCTAAGGTGTGACTACATAGAAACTCTTTTACGAAGTACATGTGACCATGAGGGTGAGTTCTGTGGCCTAGAATCTAGTGTGGTCTCTGACTGATAACATAGAGGTCAGCAGGCCATGAAGTACATGTGACATCTCCTGTAAGGATGGGTAATGGTCTAGGGAGGGTAGAGTCTTGGATAATCATTCTGGGGAATTTGGGTGGGGTCTGCCTCCACAGATAGCAAAAAGATCACCAAGTCATTAACAAAATCCACTCCCAGCCTTCTGGGCGGGAAAAGTTATTTTATCCCCTCCATTGGGAAGAGGGCCCCATGTGTTTAACATTCCTGGTTTCCCTAGTGATCTGTGGGTGGAGGACCTTTGTGCCCCCAACAGATACATACAGTAGTGTGTCCTTGTGTGCAAGTGCACGTAGCTATGGGCATTTATGTGAAGATCATATGGTTG